CCACAGACCTAAATCCCTTTGGCTACAAACTAAACCCATTATTTGTGTATTTACTATGGAAAACTTATTGTCCTGTTTATAGCATTCTTTCCCATATTTGAGATTCATCAGCATGTCCTATGTTCACTCTTTCCTCCTAACTTTTTTTTTTCCCAAAACTTTCTACCATTCTGATTTGGAGAAGAGCAGATGCCTAAAAGTTGTCACAAGTTCCATGAAAAAGACGATGCCCTGAACTAGACACTGGTTTTTGCTGTTCTCATCAGTGTCAAGTAAACCAGAATAACTGTTTTTTTTCAATTTGCATTTGGCAAATGGAGAATGGAGTTGAGCCTTTTAAAAATAGCTGTGTGTTACAGACTCCCGCTCACTATGTGGTCCATGATAATCCGCAGATCCTTTTCTGCAGTAATGCTACAGTGATTCTTCTTTACTTGTTATTTGTGTGTTTGATTTCTCCGTTTGGAGAGCACTAAACTGTAACATTTATTAGACTTGATATATTTTTTTTTTTGATTGCTGTTCTGATTGATCTAAGTCATTTTGCATTTTAAGCTTTTTCTGCAAAGAATAAAAATGGATGGCTGCCTCATTCCTGTTGACAGGAAGAAGCAATTCATCAGTGCAGTTTTGGAGCCATGGGCTGGCCTGGCTTCAGATCGTTCTGTGCCTAAGATTTTGGACTCAGCTGAGGTGGCAGTTTGCCTTTATATAGCCTCTCTGGCTTAGAAATGCCTAGAGCTTGCTTAGAAACGCGATGCGTGACACTAAGCAGTAGTTGGCCGGTATGAACGTCTTCAGTATTGCTCAGCCGGTGTATGTGAAGCAGGAAGGAAAGATCTTTCTCCTGACATGTTATCTGGCTTACTCAGGCATGACACCTGTAGTCTGGGGCGCTTTCACAAGACAGCGATGGTGCACTTTGGAATCAGAAGGGTTTTGGTCACAGTTTCTTGCTAAGCATGTCTACTGAGCTCTCTGAATTCCTGACGCCTATGAAGCTTTGGGATCACTTACTTTCTTGCTGTGTCTGAGTATCCTAAATAGGTGTGTTTGGGAAGGCACAGGCTTCACAGTGACATCTTTCCAGGTCATCACTGTTGATTTTAATTTACTAGAAATAGAAGTATATTTCTGCAATGTTTTATGCTGTTTCTTTCTGACCCTGCTTAGGTAATAGTCTTATGTGATCCAGGGTTACAGTCTGTTTGGAAGTAAGCTTCTTGTGTCACTCTTTTGTTTCCTTGCATAGTTCCTCCCAGTCTGAACTGAGACAAGATCATTAGTCTGCCTTGATTTCCACTCCTTTTAAATGGTATAGTGTCTCAGCAGTCCTGAGGTGCTTCACCCTGAGTATTGCCGCTTTCCTGAATCTATACTATCCCACATTCTATCCTATCTGTCAGTGAGAATGTTATTGGGATGGAGTACTTCATAACCCCAGCTCTCCAGACACCTATCAAAACCAGAAAGAGTTATAGCATCTTTTTTTGAACTGAAGATTCACAACTTATTTAGGAAAAATCAATAAGCATTACTATGAGCTGGGTTCAGTTTAAAAGAAGCTATGGAGAAGTGGTTGCAAGAAAAGAAAATTCACATAGAGCATTCTGCTGAGACAGAGCTGTACCAAAACACAGAAGAATATTTAAAAAAACAAACAAGCCATAACTGTCTTACAGATATGTAGGGTAAAATCACGGAGTTTCAGAGGTTAGAGATTATAAGGTATCTGCACTGAGTTAGTGATATTGTATAGCCTGTGTACTTCAGAGAGTATTTCAGCTATTGTTAACGATGGTACTTTAAAATGCTTGGGACAAAGGATATCAGGAATTCCTGATTAGTATCATTAACAGGGCAGCGCTGCAAAAAAAAACTTTACCTTTTTAGGAGAATTTTTAGGTAGGAATGCATTTTATTTCCAAATACATTACTTTGCCTTTATAATAAGGAGGAAATAGTACACGAGAAAAATGAGGCAGCCGTAAAGTGGAGAAGCGAGTTGAAGGCTGGTACTCTTGTCTTGCAGAGGCCATGTGTGAACCCCTGGATCTAATTAAAGAATGTTACCGCTGAATTCAGTGTGTCCGCTATTACACACATCAGACTGCATACCTCCCAGCTTTTATACTGGAGCAACCCCATCAGCTTGTTCCATTGGGGTAACTGAAAGCAGAACGCACCCAAAGAAATGCAAATAGTTCAGTGTTATATTGGATTAGTTTTAGTTAACTAATAAACAAGGCATGGCACTTCCAGACATTCGTCATCCTGGTTTTGCAATAAATAGTCTTTAATTGTCTCATCTGAATATAGCATAAGCAGGCAGGAACATTAGATATAGAAGAGCATTAACACATTTTTCTCTCTTTTTTGTTAATCTGTGAGGTAAGCCACAATGTTGATTATTAACAGCCTACTCTATGCTGCAGAGTGGCTTCAGCGATTCTGCAAATTGGCTAGATTTGAAGCTGTTAATTATGCAGTATAGTGCGTTCCATAAAGGCAGAAATGAACGTGACTTGGCTCAGTTCTCATGAGAATAAATTGTAAAAATTGGACCTCTGTTTGGTTTGAATTCTGGCTTCACAGAGGACACGGACATTCTGTACAACAGGCTTGGTGAGGACAAATCATTTACTCCATTAAAAAATCAGAATACGTTCATAGTAAAATTGCATACCTGGCAGAAAGCCCATGGCTCTTGGGACTCTGCAGACGTCCGAGGCTCATTAGCACGGGGTGCTTTTTATCATTTTATCTAAGAAACTGTCAAACATCTTAAATCTGAGTATCTTGTAAATTATAAGGAAGACCCTGCGTTCACCAACCACGCTTGTGTGTGTCTGGAACTGCCCGCCGGTATTTTAAAGTTACTGTCTGCCTGCTGTAGAAGAGAAAGGCATGGTCTCCAACACATGCTGCTCATCTAACGTCAAGGCAAATGATAAGCGAGGGTGAGGGGAGGGTTGTCTTTTGGCTTAGGCTCTCTCTTTAGGTTTTTATGTAAATTTAGATGTTGGATAACAAATTATGACAAGATAATTTTACCCTAAGTTTCCACCAATGCATCAAGGAATTTACAAGATGTTACTACTTCTGAAGCAAATCCGTACATATTTATATCATTTTCTCTTAAAGTATGAAAGCAGATAAACAAATCAGAAGAAAAAACAGCTCCATAAATTGGAATGATTTTTTAAATCTTCTAGAAATATATTCACATAAGGAGATATTATGTCAAATATATGGCTGTACCTTTGTAGCTGTTGCAAGATTGTAGCAGTGTAACTGATGCTAGTTGAAAGATCCTGAAAGAAGTATTAAATGTCCAGTGTGTCACAGTGATGAAAAGTAAAATGTCATTTTTGCAGTTTCTTTTAAAAGCTTAAGTGAGCTATTTAAAAAAGAACAGTAAGTTTGGGGCTTCAACTCTCATGTTTTTTTAAACTGACAGTGAAAGAAAATTACTATCTCAACCAATGCCTTAATACATGGAACAAAGAGGACTTTATAGTTTAAACCTACTGAAATAACCAGTGTTAAATTCCTATAACTGTTTGGTGTCATTTAAACTTTTGCAATAAATGCATAGATTTATCTGGGTTAATTTTTTGTTTCTTTTTTATGACAAGCAAGAAAGGCAATTCTTGAGGAAAAACCTTAACGCTATGATTCAGGCTAATGCATAGCATTAGGTTTGTTATCAACAAGATGTATTAAAATGGAAACACTGAACTAGCAAAGCCATCTTGTGCATGGGATTATTAAATTCACAGTTTGCTGTTGCTAATTTGTTAGCAGGCTTCAGTTGTTTGAGAAAGCTCATACAAACTCATTTTGCAAAACCGATTATTAGATGAAATGCCCTCTGTCATTGCCACTGGAGGAATAGCTCTGAATCAGGGCTGTGTCACAAATGGAGTTAGCTGAATGATCTCAGTTCAATACCATTTACCTAACAGAATTACAAAGATGATGCTGCCGTAATGAATAGGTTCTGCTCAGACAAATGGAGTCCCCTGGAAATAATGGAAATTCAGTGCAGGGCTGTTTGCTTTCTTTGGTTGACAGGAAGAGCTCGGACTCTAGGATAAAGTCAGTCCTTGTGCTTTTATCAGAGTTATGTTACTTTTATGATTTGACAAAGTTCAGTCTGGTGACAGGGATGCAATTACAGAGCTGTTTAGACTTGTTGGTTCTGGAAGACATTCTCCCTTATGTTATGCTTCTTAAGCAGGTGTATTTTGTTCACTTTGATGAAATATGCGTTAACTAGAATAGCATGGTAGTTAGAGATAATCCAGAACTGAATCCTTTCACGTATCCTACACAGAATATTGTGGTTTGTAGTCAGTGTTTCATGAGCAAACACAGGAACCAGCCTGTATAGTTGATTCCGAAGGATCATTCCCACCATTTTTTTCTTTTGATTCATGATGTTGTTCATATTCATACTTATGAGAAAATTTTCAGAATAAAAATTGTTTCCACTTTTCAAATGCAATCTGTGAACCATATACTAGTATGAGTTGAAGACAAATTATAATAATGAGGACAGTTCTGTTATCAGATATTTAAAACAATAGTTGTTTATTAAAAACCAGTCTCAGAATGAAAACAATTAATTTAATGTCAATGTTAAGATTTTCAAAAGGAAAACTGTTCCCCAGTGTAAATTTCTGTTTCACCACCATGTTCTCAGAGCACTGTGAGAACCAAGAATATTTTTCTGTGGTGATTCTTTATGCATGTTCAGCGGCACTGTGAAGTACAGAGAACTGTAGCTCTCAGAGCGCTAGATGTTTTTCAGAGGCATTTATTTGGAAAGAATTTCTGTTGGAATGTAAGAAATAGTTTTGCTTGTGCAGCCAGCAGTGTATATGTAGCACTTCATGTAGAACAGACCAGAATCTTAAAATATTTTTCCTGTTAAAAAATGTCACGGGTTAGTATTTGTCTTGTATATATAATGAAATAAATATTCATTCTTTTAGGGTGAAAAAGGAGATAAAGGAGAAGGAGGACCAGAAGGCATTCCTGGAAGAGAGGTAAACTGAATGATGATGAAACAGTCAAGTCACAAACGTCTGGGAGGGTGGTTAAGCAATGAAATTCAGAATTTATGTAAGGAGAGTGATGGATTTAGAAAATGTGTATGCCTGGAGGGTTAATATCCACAAGATGATGGGGCAAGAAAAAGAGATGCATTCAGGTGAGATCCAAGTTCTTAAGCCTTCAGGTTGGACAGGAGAGCTGTGGGTAAGGATGTGGTAGGTTCCATGATATTTCTGCTGAGGGCTCATGAGATAAACTGAGACAAGCGTGGGGAATAAAGCAACACAATATAGGTGAGAATCATGCCTGGTTGGATAATCTGCTGGAAAGGAGGGCATTTCTGGAGGTAGGGTAAAGCTAGGCCTGGAGCCTTGGTTTCTGAAAAGGAAAATACACAGGCTGTTAGGCATTCCTGGGTGAGAGTCATGGGTCACTCACTGTGCCATGTGGCTCATGTGATAAAGAATTTGAGTTAAAATGTCACTTCTTTCACTGCCTACTTAGTTAATTGGTCTCGTCCATATTTGAGGTAGAGCATGAATCTGTGTCTAAAAATACTGGATTATCGTGATGGCTGAGTTCACATTCTAGCTTGAATCTGAGCTAACACTATAGACACACCCAGTAATAAACCTTATTTTTGCCTAATTTATTTTTAAATTTAAATTTATTTTTGTGACTATTAAACCCAGGTAAGAGGACAGAAAATCAGAATTTGTTTCAGTGCAGTACTAAAATCGCCAACCAGCATGATTTGAACAGCAAGATTTTTTTTAAAAAGAAAATAAAACCAAGCCAGCAGTTTTCTTTATCCCTTTCTTCCTCTCCTGTCTGACCTTGTGAGGGTCAGCCTGGGTTTAGGTTTTAACGCAGGATACTGTTGGCTCTCCAATTGCAAAGCATCGCAGTTGAAGGCAGAGAACATCTCAGAGAGGGATCTGAACCTGACTGTCCAAATTCTGTGGGGAATGACTGGCATTAGGACTGGAATCCAGATACAGGATTTGAAAAAAAAACATTCAGCAAAGCTTTTTTAAGCAACTGTACCGAAAGAGTAAAAGGGTCAACATTTGACACAAAAATGCTATGGCAGTCTAGCTGGGTCTGCTGAAAATGCAGTAAAACAGACTACATAATTATGACACTTTTTATGTCATCTGGCCTTCTACGCACACCGTAACCATAAAAATATTTTTCCTATTTTAGGTTATTATAATTTAATGCTAGATAAATCAGGCTATTTTTGACTAATACTGGATGTCCTCCATATGAAAACATACACTATGTACTGAGCTGAAACTATGTTTAGGTATTCGAAGAGGTATTCTCTTGTAGCCTGCTTGTCTGTAAAGGTGAACCGTATACTTCTGTCATGCATACATATATGCTGACAGCATGGAAAAAACACATCTGTGTTTCTTTCCATAGCTCTGGGAACATTTCTGTGTTGGTCTTACACGATCTTCTTTACTACATGGGATCTTGTTCCATAAACCTTTTAGGAAGAGTAAGGTATACCAAGTATCTGGTGAACTCTAGAACATATTTGACATAGTGGCACTGTGAAAGTGTAAAATATCAAACCTTTATATTTTGAAATATTTACTGAACTGTTGTAATGTGTCAAAAAATGGTAGATTATCATCATGGGGACTGTCTAAAATATTTTGGAAGTAAAATTGCACAAGGCAGTATAACATTATATTGTTTGAATCCACACATAATTCCTTTTTAACAACACTTAGATAAAATGCTTTGGATTCAGTTATCACTGTGCATGGAGATGCCAGTCATTAAGTTTAAATTTAAAGGACTGTGTATCATTGACCCTTGGTTGCTATCAGTGTCTCTCAAACTCATTCCGCATACAGAAATGTAACATCTGATATTTCTGCAATAATCAAGTTAATCTGCTTACACGGGTGTAATCTGCAGCGCTGTATAAAGAAAGCCTGAAAACACTTAAAGCTAGCGGTATCGGCTGCTGGCAGCTGTTGCCTCTGCCGCGGGAGTGAGGGTTTCCGTACTCGCAAGTGAAAAACTTGAAAATGATGACTGAACATTTTAACTCGCACAAATGGTAGAAACATATTTGAATTTATTTTAATCAAAATCAGGGAAGTAGGTGTCACAGAACAGTTTTGTTTGCTGTTACTACTTGTGTTTTCTTAGCTGTACAAAAAGTTCTTGCTAGGATGAAGTAGCACGACAGAGGGGAAGCCAGACATGATTTGGAGACTAGGCTTTCTGTAATGATGAAGAGAGACCTAAAAATTTTAATTCCCTCATCCCTCACTGGTTGTGCTAACTGAGTCAGTTAATCTCATTGAGAACCAGGTTTGGAGGCAGGAACTGTGAATATATTTAACTGCTCTGCACATCTCCAATTTATCACTCCAGGAATCTGAGCCAAGATCTACAATGCCCGTGTCCCAGTCTGGGACGTTATTCAGAGTCCATCCGACAACATGAATACTTACTATAAATACTAGTAATGTGGTTGCCATTGTTTTTAACTTCTTAAGGAGCAGTTATTTATAACTTAATATATTACTAATGTAGTCCTCTCGTGGTGTGTGTTCACATTACATCTGTAAGCAGGTATTTGCCTGTATAATACAAATAGCCAGTTTGCTTGAGTAGTATCTCTGTTTTATCCCTTGAGACTTTTTTAGCCACTTGATATTAATAATGCTATCATTTGCATCACTGTAACAAGTGGAGCTTCACAGACACACTGTCTGAAAGAAAACCTGATAAATACAGTTTCTTCTCCATCACGCTCATATCCCATATGGAATAAGGACAAATTTGCAATACAAATATCCATGAAACTTATCTGTGGATTAAGAATATGTTCTATTCATACACTTGCCAGTTGAACTGAAATTGAAAGAAAATCTTTATCATTGAAACTTTTAGGCTCTTTTTGGAGTCATGTCATTTTCTTGATCAGTGGCACAGGTAGGAAATGAATACCACAGGACACTACCAACTAATGTCTTGCTGACAGAAATGAAATACTTCAGCAAAAGTAAGTGAAAACAGAAAGTTTTGTCATATCTGTCAGCATGTGTTATGCATAGCTAGGGGAAGAATAGAGTCTTTCTTGTAAATTGTAAAAAAAAAAAAAAAAAAAAAAAGTAAAAAATCTGAAATTCAAATCGGGTATATAATCTCTACAGCATTAAGCCAAGTGATTCACTAATATTTTTTTTTTCTCCTGCTGGGGAAGGTGATACCCTAAGTGACTTTTTAAAAACTTTCCTACATAGAATGTTGTTATTCTTTATGTACCTGAAGTCAAAGGATGGACCTCTCAAGTTCAGTGAGCAATGAAAAAAATCCCAGGTTTTCAATGACAGGCAAAACCCATATTGGACCTTTTTAATTTTATGCTTGTGGGGAAAAGGTGAACAGAAGTATGAACATTTTTAAAGGGACCCAGTGTCTCGATAAGATAGTAACAGTCGTTTAGAGAGACAGGCCATGAGGGTGTAAAGGTAATCTTGAACTCTCTTAGTATTAGCATTGTACGGAAATATTTGGATAGGAAGGGAAGAATCCTATTGCTTGAAAATATGAAGTTGGTAATGATATTTAACTATATCTGAAGTTTGAGGATTCTGTTATGAACAAAAGTATAAGGAGATAGTTGGCATTGCTCAGGACCCAGAAAATTCTAGTAATGGAGCAATTTGAAGTTTTTGAATGACATTAGCGAGAAAAGAGCACTGGCAATATTTAAAAGTACATGAGACATAAACTGAAAAATAGTATGTTGTTTGGAGCTTTGAAAATACTTTGGCAAATTAGAAAAGTTATCCCAGCATATGCAGCTTGACGTTGTACAGCTGACTCTGAAGCTGTTGTTTTAATTTAGATTTTAAGGCTGCTCTGTAGAGAAAATATAGTTCTGTTGTCTTACTCGTTAGAGTATTCCCAAGTTTTATTACTTGGTAGAGATTGTTGATTTGATCTATAATAATTTGGTTGCACATTGTCGGTTAGTGTGTTGGATTGTTTACTGTCTTTTCAGTACTTTAGATAACACGTGTTGTTCTAGGAGATTTTGACCCAATATGAGGTTGAACCAGATTACTCTAATGCAAGCCAGGGAATTGTAAATAATGAATGATGTTTCTCCAAACAAATATCTTCTACAGTGAAAAACCTGTTCTCCTCAAAAGATTATGCCAGTCTTACAGCATTTTCCATTGCCACATGCATGCAGTGTAGTGTATGCGGCACAAATAGGTGCATTTCCAGTGCTGCAGGAGCTGCTGGAGTCCTCTGGTTAAGGTCCAGCTGATCTTTGCATTTTTTCATTGGGAAGAGCACCTGTTGGCAGCTGCCGGTACATTTTACCTCTTTCATCTCTTTTCTGTGATGATGTATAAGCACTGTCTGCTGCTCGCTCGCTCTCTGAGAAAATTTTCACTGTGTGATACACTTTTCTCAGGCCTCGGTGAACTTGCTAGGGCATGTTAAGTCAGAATTCATCAAGTGAAGCGTTAGGGCACAAAAAGCATGTTTTACTTGGAGGGAACACTTAACATAACAATTTTCCTAACATTCCTGAACTCTAGAAAGAGTTTTCTTATTGATAATTTCATGCAAAGCTAATAATTCAGTTATTTTGGTACTCTTTTTCAGACTTCTCTGATCAAATCCATGTTTGTTACTATGGTAAACATTTTGTCTCAGGGTGAGAGGTTAATGCACTTCTCAGCTATTTCCCAGCTGTGGATAAGTAAGTAACTGATGGCAGCTGAGAAGAGGCTGTGGGCCCTGTCTTCTAACACTACTGGTGAGGTTTGCGTTATGACTGATACCTGTCTCTTGGTGTTAGTAGTTTGTCTTCAACGAGCTGTTGAACAGAGCCCTGACTCTCGATGCCCTTGGTCCCTCTGGTCTCCAGTCCGTATGGAGTCAGTTGTCCGCTGCCAGGCAGCATAAGCCTTAGAAACTCTGGCAGCTCTGTAAGAGTTTCCCAGTAAGCTTCCTCTCCTTACCCTAGCTTTCTGGAGGCTTCTGTGTTTGCTCCCAGATCAGCTCATTGTCAGTCTACTGCTGAAAGGCTTCCTCAAGCTTCCCTGGCCTGTCACTCAAATCCCCTTGTTTGGGCTGCAGAGTTTTTATGACAGTCAGCTAGTCAGTCTCAGCCAGAGAGGTGTCTGCTCATTAAACCCTTACAAATCCCTTGTGTGGCTTTGAAACCCAGCTGAACTTCACAGTGTCAAGGCTAAAAGCAACAGACGAGTCTGCAAGAAAATCTAATTTACAGAAGCAGACTCCTTTAAATTACAGGATGCTTTCCCCATCCTGTGCAAGCACCAACAAGCGTTTCCTTTTTAATATAACCCCTGTATGTTATATGGGAGTACTCGCAGAAGGTGTGTACTTGGTTCAAGTTGTTGCTGTCATTTGATGTCATTTGTTACTTGATATTCCTAGGGCTTAGGAGTCCTTGGTAAGGTAGTTCCTGAGACACTACAGGTATATGGGATGTGATTTCCCAGCACAAGCAGCAAGGCGTGAATCCTCTGTTCTCTTCGTCTTCTGTCCTTTTTGCTAGTGATGGTAGTAGTACTGGTTTGCAGCTCAGCATGTTGACCCAAAAGAATTGGCTTAGGGGAAAGTGTTGTTTGGGTTTCCTTTTCTCACAAAATCTTTGGCTGTTCTGATCTTATCCAAATGACTGAAAACACAGGAAGTGAAAAACTGTTTCATTTTCTGGTTCTGGTTATATATGGCACTCCTTTTGAATGAATAAAATGTTCTCAGGCTTGGTAAAGAATGTATTTATCACATCACTAAGTAAAGTTATTTTTTCTTCACCGTGGAACTCCAGAGCACAGCAAATATTGTATGAGATTGTCGCTGGATTAAAAGGATGATTCAAATAGAAAAACTGTAGCCTTTTATGCCAGTAGCGTTGGGACACCATTAATAAAATACAATCCTTTGAAGAATTTGTGAAACCATGGTCCTTTTTAGAGCTTTAAGGCACAGTTACTGTTTTGTAATTGTTTTCTTCTCCTAATTCAGTTGGTTTTGCAGGCTGGCTAAGACTCCAGTAAACTAATATCACAGAAAAGTCTGGTTAAATATTTATCAAAAATAGTGTCAACCCATATGGTAACTTCTCCTTTAAATTCCTTCCACCAGAAGAAATACCATTGTCATCCCCTTCCAAATAAAAAGCCTGCCTCTAGTTTAATCTTACACCCATTGGCCCCAATTTTGTTGACTTTATGCCCTTGTTGAAATTTGTGATATACTTGTTCCAGTAATTTCTCTATTGGTCAGAAATTGTCTTACAGTAATACCTGTTTTATTATATACATAAAAAACATTTATCATTTTTACCATTTTTCATGTTATCTTGTTAGCCTTGAGTTGGCCTTATACATGCATATCCTAACGTTTACTTTACATTTTGCCATCCATAGAGGAACTGTAATGTAAGGATTCTGACCTGTAAAAAGACCGAGCTGTAGTCCTTACAGAGGAGAAAAAGCACCAGCTGAAGACTGTTCATGAACTCACAAATGTGTATTATTATATGGCTCCCTAAAAGGTAGAATTAGATCGGGATAGAATTCAATAATTCATTCACCCTCTCTCTTGAGAGCTGCTGGAATTTTTACTCAGTTCTTGAATTTCTGGCAAATCTGGTAACAGGCTCCTTAGATCAATAAAAATTAGTTTGTTGTTTTCAAAACTGACCTCGTTCTCCTAAAATATTGCAGAAAACGAGCTTTTCTAATTTAAAGCTTAATCTAAAATCATCCAAATTATATCTGTTAGATAACCACATCCATTTTACTGAAGCATCCTGTTCTGGTCTCTGCCAGAAACAGGATACTGTACCGTACTGTGCTAGAAGGAGCTACAGATTTGACTTAGCACAGGAATTCTTACTTCTTATGTCATTTCAGAGACAGTCAGCAGCAGCTAAACCTCTCAGCAGCTTTAAAAAGGTGGCTGTAGGGAAGAATAGGCATGGTGCAGTACCAGATGTGGTTTTGCAAGCATTCACTATGTCTGGGACTTAAGATGATATTATTTTTAAAAGATATATAATGTGTAGAAGAACAAGAAATACTTCTAGTGGGATAACCTTTTAAGCAATTTTTTTTTCCTGATACTACTGCTCTTTCTTGGGCTTTTAAACTGCAAAGGAAAGCTAATTCAAGTATCTTAAAATAAATACTTCCTATGAAAACCTTCCTGGGCACTCAAAAATCCTGCTTCAAACCCTGTAAGGCTTGTTGTCAAGTACGTAGTTTCCCCTTGTCCTTTTTATGTGAGGTCGACCTCTGTGGTCATCATCTCTGCAGTAGCTGTCAAACTGCATATCTCACCGAGGTGCACTGCAGGAACACTAGTAAAAGCTTTAAACACACCAGTTAGGAAAAAATGAGGTTCATAGTTTGATGATACATGGCTTGGGTTTAGTATCTTTCATCTGCAGTTGTCTTTTCTATTCAGTAGAGACACACACAGATACATATTGCTGTCTGTGAGTTGCAGATTTTTTTTTTAGCCTTATCTTTTCTTTTCTGTAAATATGCAGCCTAAGAGCTAATTCTTAAACTGAAACCTATTGTTCCACTGCTGATTTGTTAATGGTGATTTTGAACCAAATCCATACAGTTTGCATACCTGAAAAATCGCTAAAATGTCTTTTTAGAATATGGAGTGGATGTGTTTTATGCAGTCTTTCAGAAGGAGGTGAAAAGTAAAATGCAGTAAATGGAAACAATACTAAAACTATGTCATACATATGCAGATTGTATAAAGAAAGCAATTTTTTGGCTTGGTTTTTGAATCCATCTGCCTATTACATTTTTTAAGTTCAAACAGCAAAACTACTTCTGATTTAACTATTACATATTTGGCAAGCTTAATAAAGGACAAATCAAAGCTAAATCAGGGGTATTTACAACAACCACAAATTTAATTCAAAGTGGGTACTTAAATGCTCATATAGTTCTAAATGATGTTCCTTCCAGATGGTGAATTAATGTAATTTTAGCAGGAAGTGAAGTTGCACAAATATGCAGTATTTAGAACACTCACTGATTTAATGTTTCTGTACCCACCAAGGCACAGATGTTACTTATCATTTTCATGGCAGTTGTCTCCATCTTTCCAATTATCGCAAACTGAGGAAGTGAGTTTGCAAGGGCAAAAAGGGGGCTGGGAAGACCTTAAGTTAGTAAACCCTAATCCAAATGTAGATGAATTTTTTCTGTCCTTGACCTATCTAACCTCCGCAATAATAACGATGGTGGCCTACTTGTGGAGTATCTCATTATGATTCGGTCCTTTATTGCCTACATTATTGCCATTGGGTTTCTAAGGAAAATCTTTGAACCTGTAGAGCGCTCTCTGACTTACAATGTACATGGTCTCCTGTCACATGCCTCTAAAGCAATGATCAGAGGGAAGGCACAAGACAAATCTCTTGGCTTAAACAAGGAGTTCCTGACAGGTTGGTCCAGCATCAGGATTAAGTTCATTCCTGATTGCAGAATGGCTTGAATTTGCTGGGCATATTTCAAAACCTCTCGCTTTTCCATGTGTTTTGCAGCAAGGAGAAGACAACAAAGATTATGTGCTGGCTCTAAAGATTTTTTTGGGGGTGCTTTTGATGAGAGGTGTTAGTGGAAGAGCTGTATCGTAGACCATCTAGAGGGTAGATTCAGACTAGATAGGAGAAGGAAATTTTTTACGATGAGAATGGTGAAACATAGGAAAAGGTTGTCCACAGAGGCTGTGGATGCCCCATCCCTGGAAACATTCAAGGTCAAGGTTGGACGGGGCTCTGAGCAACCTGATCGAGTTGATGTCCCTGCTCACTGCAGGGGGCTGGACTAGATGAGCTTTAAAGGTCCCTTCCAAACCAAACTGTTCTATGATTCTGCGATTGTGAAATTGCTGCGTATGTAACATGTTAAGACTAGGCAGTATTATCTGCTTCTCCGGCTGAAGGCAGAACTAAGAAGGGACATATGAAGGACTCAATTATTTCTCTAATTGCCTTTTCAAACACTGGTGAAGATGGGAGTGTGAGAGGATGTGCGGCAGCTCTGAGCTATACCCTGCTGTTGCTCGCCAGCTCAGCATTGCTACTTGAAACATAGAATCCACAGCTCTCTGTCCACCTCTGCCTCTCCCAATTTTAGCAGAGGTTAAGTGAATGTACTCGTACTTTCTCTAGTATTTTATTTTATCTTTGTTGGCCATGCAAGACACGGACCTATTGGGACTGCAATGGAACTTTGTATTTCTACATGCTACTTGCCATAATGAGGCACAATCAAGTAGATAGTTCACTTTGTATGTTTAATTATGTGTTGAAGACAGATGCAGTCTTTGATAGATGTTTCTTTGTTCACAAAATAATCAAAATAAAGAATTATGAGATAGCAGTACTAATAATGTGATAATATTTTAGGCTTAGTTGGTTAGCATATACTAAATCACAGCACTACAGGATTTTGTCCAACGCTTTCCGCACATGACAACAAATACGCATTTTTCTTCTTTGCCCAGGGACTAAAAGGTGACCCTGGTAGTCCTGGTGTGGCTGGTCCTAAAGGAGAAAAGGTACTTTTTTTTATCCATAAAGTTGTACATATATGCGAGTATGCATGATATTTCTTCAATATTGAACACATTGTCTTAACTACATGTGATGAACACCCACTGCTGCCATTTGTGTAGTTTAAGGGTTGAAGAATATGAACACAGACTAACTGTAAATATGGAAGACAAGTACTCTTTATCACAATAAATTTTGAATGGAATTCAGAGCAGGAGCCTAAATTAGATGTTCTGAATTGTTCTCTGGATGCTCTGATTTGCTCCCACGGACTGAATCTGAAGGTCTGAGAGCACAATTCATGCCTCAGCGACCTAATTCTGTGAACATTTTACACAGATGTCATTACATATGTGAGCTGTCACACTGACTTCAGTGGCCACCTTGTGCATGTAAGCTGCAGCTTGTAATTTAACATGCAAATACGTTTTGAAGGATTGCCTTTTTTAAGCTGTGATTCATTTATGCAGATGCCTGCCATTTTCTTCCATTTAACCTGTGGTGAACTGTGTACATCTACGCCATTACTGAAAAAGAACATTGCTTTACTCATATATTTTCATAATTGGAGCATGTTTGATTATTATACTGAATTTACTTCTGCAGTAATGCATATCCTCTAAAATGCCTAGAGGTTAAATATGTACAGCTAGAGAGATTGCTGATTTGCTTACTCTTCTATTTTAACTAGGGAGATGCAGGACCTCCGGGACCAGCTGCCTTGAGCGTAAGTACATGTAAAACAAAAACAGATGAAAGAAAATCACTAAGAGATGTTGCAGTTTTTAGCTTATTTGCAATGTAAATACTTTCATTATTAAATTTAAGAGCCAAGTACCTTTCTTTAGAACGCCTCTCCATTTTCTGTATGAATTGTGAAGCAGGGAAAAGGGAATTTTATAGATATAAAGAAAATAAGCATATTTAAAACATCTTGTTTCCCACCAAATGCTAACAAGAATATTGGGGGTTTTGTTCTGTGTATAGATAGTATAGGCTGGTTAAAGCCAAATAATTCCCTTGTTATTTTTAGTGAAAACCACTTTTCAGTAAAAGCTTGCAAAACTACTTAATGCTTTTTCAGATACTGTAAATACTCTATCATCAGGTTATTCTATTAAGTACTTAGTTATGCGTGCAATGCCCTATATATGACACAGGATTCTATATATAGCATGCATATGTTCAAATTTGACACACAAGACCCTATTTTCAGGAAGTTAAGAACATGGGGATGCATCCAGCAGCCAGATAGATGTGAGGCTGTCACAGCTCTTTGCCCTCAGGTCCTACTGGCAGCGGGGCTGAGCATGCACTCCAAATTGGCACGCAAGCATACATACAACACATATAGACAGGTCTGGCCACACAGGTCAGCACAGATGGGGACACTCAGCACTCCCACAAACACAAACAGCACCAACGGCCTCACCCTGTACTCTCTCTGGCTGATCGTGATGACGGTCTCGTACTGGAAATATGGACGTATATACAATGTGCATTCCTCTAGCAGCTGAGCTGACACACAGCCTAACCAGTAGGTGTCCCTGCTCCTGGTCTTTCCAGTTCCTGGGACCTGGACCTTCAGTCCCCCCTGAGGCTCACAGACCTCCTCACTCACAGACTCCCACGCAAAACACATGTGTACACACACACATGTATATTCCCCTGGTTTCCAGGCCATTTCACCTACTTGCCACCAGTCCAGCTTGATATTTGCTGTTGATCACACACACAGTCGCATGCTTGGGCTCACTCCATTTGTTGGTACCACAAAGACATAGACCATTGTCTTTTATGAAGCACGTCATATGCTTCTGGTTCCTTGCATTACGCAGTAATGCTGCTATCGATAATAAAAATAATTGAAATAATTTCAGTATGGGCTTAATTATAGTCCATTTAAATTTTGGTGATTGGACATGTCTAATAATATTTGAGCATAGCCTATGCTTCTCTATGAAGCATTCTCTACCCGGAAAAAGAGGTTGTAAAATTCTTTTCACACAGAGTAGAAAATTGTTTAGTTTGTCCTTTCAAACACTTGCAGAGTTACATGTCGTGGTCTTGACATCCATACAATCTTTTTATCTTATGTAATCATCAGATATGCATAGCAAACACAGACTGGAAAGGAAAAAGAAATGTAATGTTATAATGATGGAAAATCACTTACTAGATTTGTATGAAGAACAATATTTCAATAATTTAGGGGGGTTTTATGGTTTCTACAATTCTCAGAGGGAAAAAAGCAGACAGGTGTCTGTCTTCTGCATATCAGACTCAGGAAGTTGCAAATTTGGTCACCAATTCATTTATTCCTTTTCTGTAATTTACCTGCAAAAAGGAATATGTGAGGTCAGACATGACAATTGGTTGTCTTTCAAGTATCAAGGAAAGACTTCTTGAGTATGGATCTAACGGTTTCTTTGTGAGGATATGGTACGTGCCTGTGCACCAGAAAAGAGAATTGACCTGCGTATTAGTTGTATTCTGGCTAGATAGTGCCATAGAGATGGTGGAAGATGTTTTTAATTTCCTTGCAGTGAGATGGTGGAAGATGTTTTTAATTTCTTTGCAATGATCTGTGCCCCAAGCGTGTAAGAAGCCTGAAGAGAAATTCCCCAAAACTCTCCAGGGCAAGTTTTGCTTCATAAAAGTAATGAATTCTCTGTGAACCAAAGTGATTTTTCTCACAAACTGAAATGAGAAGGCCTCCCATTAAGGACAGTCCATTTGAGTAAAAACAATTGAGAATGGTGCAAAAGAGCATGGCAAAAATGAAAACAAAGAGAAAAGCTCCCGAATTCCCAGGCTGTGGTTCCACAGCATGAATAGCTCTTCCCCCAAACTCAGTGTTATGAACTACTTCTACGTTATTCTTGTTGCCCATGTAATCCTAAATAAACTTCATAAGAACTATCATTCATAATGTAAATGATTATAGATTGTCTTTTCACTCTCTCCATTTCCAAGACTGAGCAGCAAGGATCTCCATTAGATCTGACGAACATTGAAGGATGTAACCAGAGACCCATAACATAAAAATAAATTCTACTCTAAGGTTTCAAAATTAAGTTGCCATCTTTTATGGTACTTGTTTTTGGATTAGGAAATCTAAATATCCGGTGTCTTGATTTCCTGGAGATAAATTAGTCCTGTGTCCCAAGATCAGTGTCTGTTTGCTACAGTTTGTGTCTTGCTGGAGGTAAACAGGGCCATTTATGTCCTTCAGCTCTTGAATATACCGCCAAAATGTGTGTTGAAAGAGTTAACAGTGAAATATTTTTAGTAAACAACCTTGATTCTAGGATTGTTACTGCAATAGATGGATTGGAGTAGATCTTGCTTCAGACAGATTCTTACAGGCCTTGAAGGGATCACTGAAATAGTAATAGGATACTTCTGAAGATAAGACATAGGAATTAGAATTGAGGATGCCTATTTTCTGTGCGCTATAGAACCATAGAATGGTCCTTTTGAGCATTTCTTGTGTAAATGATGGAAAAATGACTACATCCATTCGGATAGCAGCACCTGGGTATGTTGGGCCTGTTTCAAATGCATTCATTGTCTTCAGTTGCAGTTGTGGACACTTAGCTTTCCTAATAGTCACATTCAGAGGTTAGTAGTATGATATCGAAAATCAGACGCTGCTTTCAAACTGACTGAACTTACTCTTTCTGTACCTTCAGTGATTCACTTTCATAAAATGGACTGTCAAAGAATTGCATTTCTTTGATTATAAAATGCTGTGCAAATGTTTCAGTTCAGTTGATTCAGGCATAGCCAGATGTCTCTGCATTGGTACATCCACTGATGGTTGTCCTCACGCTTTTTAAAAGGAAACATTTTAAATTTTAGGAAAGCAGATACTAGTCTTCAGAGGGATGTTAGTAACTGATGTACTGAAACATTTTTTTTTCGTGTAGCTGCTAACTGAGAGAAGAGACAAGAGTGAGTGTGAATTGGTTTAGCAGTTTGAAGACAGATTACAACACTGCGGGAATATACGGCCCAGCAGGAAGGCTTTCTCTCTCCACCACTGTAAATGGTCATGTGTTTCTGTTGGCAAGAGCTAAAAGACAAATGACATGAATAGTGGTGGCTCAGGGAAAATCCAGTCTTCAGAGTTGTTTTATTTGTGTGACTTCTGTGTGGCCGTGACTCTTAGGATATATAATCATGAAAGGAAGATGTCATATCTTGCTGTGAATGAGTAGGAGGTCAGATAATATCAAGATTCATGTGTCACTGAATGAGAACTTACTGTGTCGGGACCGTTCATCCTCTTAGAGCCAAAATGTGACATCAGTGTTTCAGTTATGAACGCTGTTAAAGCAAAGTTTTTAAATGTTCCATTCATTTGGGACTCATGCATGATGTCATAAAGTTATCCTCTACTTATAGTCATTTTTAGTTTTTCTTAATGTGAAAATGATTTATTTCTTTTTATCAAAATGCAAAATGAATTATTATGCTGGGGTGCAGGGAGGCAAGAGGAGTGCAAATAATGACACGCTGTTAGAGCTAAGTCCAAAACGCATTTGGGCAGGGAGGGAGGGAATACTGAAAGGCACTTGGTTTTGCTCGAACTGGACAACAGGGCCTGGGTCGTCGACCTTCTGCCCCAGTGCAATTGCATATTGAGACAGGTGGGAAACGATGGCATTCCAGAGCTCTGCTGCCCTGCGCAGCTCTTCCATTCCTATGTATTTCCATCAAAATCACACACCGGTGGAATAAGCTGGAGAAGGTCTACCATATATGCCGGTCTCAGTATAAACTAGAGCATCAGCAGCGTTGTGCAGGGCCGGAACGTTCTGCCCACGCACAGACCTGCACTCTGGTCTTGTCCTCAGCGCGGGGAGCGTGAAGGTGGCAAAAGGCTGAGACTGCTTCACTGCAGTCGTTCCCAAACAGCTGGGCGGTGGTCCTTCGGTCCGCAGAGAGTTGTCCGTAGGTAATCTACAGAAGCACGGAACAGTGAGTGGTATAAACTCTTGTTTTTTCATTTGTCTGTGCTATTGGTACCTGTGAAAGTCTAAAAGGTGTCAGTGACCCTGTGTCTAAAAGTGCTCGGGCATCCCTGATGTGTAGGAAATCCCGCGCTGCTCAGAAGCACGGTAAGCGAGCTCTGTCTTCCAACATGAAAAAATGCAGAAGAGAATGAAGTTATTAGTACTTGGAGGAAAAAGCTGTATTTTTAAAAGTGTTCGACTGACAAATACAGCCATTATAGTCTCTGTAGAGAATGAGGGATACTTGGAGGCAGTATGTGTGGCCAAATTCATAAATACCCAGCAGCTGTAACAACCTGTCAGGTGGGTGAGCATACGCCAAACTGCAAAATGGGAAGTAATACCACTGCTTTTTTAAGATGCAAAATGATTTTATGAGTTTGAAATGGAAATTTCACAGCTCAGAAAGTGCATTGCTCTGAAAAAAATGGTAGACCTCTGAATACTCCTGGTTGATGTCAGTTAACAGAAAATCTGTACCAAAACCCTAAAGCATGCACACTTAACAAAACATCTCACTTGCAGAAATAGCAGATAACTCAGAAGGAAATTGTGTATGCCTGACTATACGTTTCTGCAGTGAAGAGAATTAGAATTGCAGGCCATGTGTTTCTGTACATTTCTTTAAGGCAGGTACAGAAGTCTTGTTAATACAATTTCATCATTCTTGCATGATGAATTAGAGGGGAAAAAAGAAACAGCGTTGTAGTGCAAAATATGCTAAGCTGTAAAAAGAAATATATGAGAAAATTCATAGGCTTTATGTAGAATCCTAACGAAATTAATGATTTCAGCAGTTCTAAGTATATTTGATTCATGCATTATTCATACAAATACATTTTAGTGGCTCAGATCGTTAACTCTTGACATATATGTGCATATTTAAGCACTTTTAGTAAGGATATAAAGTTTTTCTATGTTTCCATGGAGTCAGTTAACACTACACAACTCAAGATATATCTATGTATTTTGTCTCCTCAGTTATGGTAGTAGTTTTATGGGAGTAGTCCAAAGTCATGACTGATTCTCATCCTTTCTTTATGCTGTCTTTAATCTCTCTGGTATGTTCTTTCTGAATTGCTCTGTAAGTACTAGATGTCTCTTTTCGTTAGTACTTTTCAAGTTTTTATAATGCATGCTGGGAATATATTTTGAACTTTTCTCCCTAATTTTGCCCACTTTATGCAGGGATATGTTTAGTCTTTAAAAGTTTAAGTTCCTTGATAAATTGTACTGTAGCCGAGGACCCTTCAGAGAATAAACGGGAGGGATTATACTGCTATGTTTTGTGGGTTTGTCAAAATGTGGAATGTGGTGGCAGAAGCTGGGGACTGTTTTCTGCAGGGGCACAGCTGGCTCCGCAACTTGCCCACTCTGGTATCCCCAGCTTAAGCCCGTGCGTGCCGTGTCAGAAGTGCGACAGGTGAGGGAAGGTAGCGCAGCCATCTCTTGTAAAATATATGATAACTATTCCTCTTGACACTCGATACACTGCTTTTAGTTCCTGAGGAAAACGAGCGTCCGTACGTACGTTCCTGCGAACCTATCCCTTTCAGGAGTTATAAAATAGTCATCCAGATGGCACCAAGTGTTTACGCAGAAGCCGAGGCTTAAGTCGGTCACAGACAGAAGTCCCCAAGACTTGCTTACTAAACAGATAGTTGGAATGTTGGCTCCTAGGTCTGGTTAAATCGAGCCAAAGGAAACTGGCGCACAAGTGCGGCGTGGAGGCGGCTGCGGGAGGAAGCTGCAGATTCAGGCCC